CGTCGTCGCGGCCCACCTCGTCAGCGGCGCGCGCGGTGAGTGGTAAAAGTTGCTTTTGGCGAGCTGGAACGGACGGTCGGCCAGCGACGTGGTCGCACGCGCTGGTGGCACTGCCGCGTGGGGGCGTGGGACGTGGTGGGCCGCACGTCAGTCGCAGAGCAAGAGGACACGTGATTGTGGTGGTGAGCGGGGGAGCAGGGTGAGGGTGGCCGTAGCGGCTGCCTGCCGGTTCGTTTTTGTGCCCTTTTTTTTTTGAGGATCGTTTTTGTGCCGTTGGTTGGTTTGGATGAGTGGGGTGGTGCGGTGCGGTTCGAGCCAGCCAAAGCGGGCAGCCTACAGCCAGCGCCACTCGAGTGCAGTTCGTGAGGCGGGAGCGGGACGACGCATGTGCTCGGTCGTTGCGTATCGGATGCTAGCTTAATCTATTCCGCCTCCCAACCCAAAGAATGCATATTCTACTTGGGGACAGCCACATCACTGTTGGATACTGCATGAATCCTACGTATCGGTGGGTGCAAGGCATCCTACTAATCATCATCATCAGTTGCCCGTTTGGCTTGGCTTCATCAGGAATAAAATGAGCCTGTATGCTATGTATGTCCTTCCCAGGCTAGCATAGAAACGGGGAACTATATACATGTCATCCAATCATTCTGCTGATCACTCACGCTCTCGCATCATTATGTAAGGTGGACGAGGCCATCTCATCTCTCCAGCCGACCAAGCACCCCGCATGCATGGATAACTACAAGCACAGGGCCTCCATAAGAGAAAACTCGGGGCAGTGTCTCTTGCACACAAGCAAGCAGGCAGACACATGGATGGAAGTAATTAGGGATCAGTTGGAGGCTTGGAGCAAGTCAGGCGCATGCACGTGTAGTGCACCTGTGCAGTGCGTAGGTTGGTTCTTGGTTGCAGGCGGGAGGGGAGTGACCACGTCAAACGGTCAAACCAGCCCAGGCAAATCGCGTTTGCGTCAAATTGTGCGGCTGACCAAAACTGTAGGCATGATAGGGATGGGACACGGCCGTCAACGTGGCAGAGATTATTACAGGCAGCCGACTGACCGTCTCTACAACACTTAGGACAATCCAGTTTCGTTCCATATCAACCAACGTTTATTATTATCACAAATCAAGCCCAGCTGTTTCTTGACCGAGTATTCCATGACACGCGAGAGAGATTATCATTCAACTGATGCCAGGGGACAAAAGTCAAGTGTACATTGGGTTGGGTATTTCCTTGAGACTTCGACAGATGGCGTTGGTGACGACTCCTTTTGTCCTTTGATGTTTGTATTACAGCCGGTTGGAGAACTTGACATTGGGCAAAAGCTCTTTACTCTATACACATGAGGTGAGAATGCACATCTGCTCGCTCGTGCCGGCGCAATCGCCATCGGACGTGCTCCACTGAATGCACCTCTGTTTTTCCACCTGGTGTTCAACCGCTCAAATCTAATCGCTCTTTTTTACACTCTCTCTCCCGTTTATATCTGTATATGTACGTACAAAATTACTGCTAGAGACACGGGTAAACAAGTTATACACAGCATGTGGCGGCCCATAATTCTATGTGCAACATCCATTCACCCCGCAAGTGTGCTATGGCTCTGATCTGTGGTGCCTAAGTGACAAGGATGCACACCAGCAATGTATCCCCCTTTTCTCCCAAACTGTGCAATGCGTCCCTCTATGCCAGGTGCTTTTATGTACATCACACTTCTGCTAGGGGTTTTTTCTTCTGGCGGAACACTTCTGCTAGGTGAAAATCGTAAGACGATATCACGTTGCAACATACAGCGGTCACCTGAACAGAAAATCAAACATTGTGCGTCAGTCAAGTGTTTGTTGAAAGTAAGCCAAACCACGTCCCCAGCCTACTTACTGCCCTAATGATCATATGGGCTAACATACTGGATGCAAACAATCAACTAGGAGTTTATTGTTAAAAAGTTGTCAATCACTAGAAAATTTACAGGGGATAAATACAGCAAAATGAAACCCTACGAATGGGTTTTCTCGGGGTTCGACAAACATATGCACCCATCATGAGGAAGATGTTTTCCAGTACACACCCTTTTTTTTTAAATGGAGGCAAAAGCTTTGACGCATCCATTAAATAAGAGAGGATAGAGTTTGTTACAAGTAACCCGAATACACGACATGAGATTACTCTCGCAAAATAATGGACCCTAATTTGTTTGCACCGGCGATGATCCAAAGGTTGGCCTCGGTCTCAATGGAGGCAAGCAATATAGTCGGCGGTGCGCTCTTGTGCTTGAAGACTCTTGCGTTTCGCTCGTTCTAGATAGTCCACGAAACAAGCATGGTGAAAGACGCCTTTGCTTGGCGGTTTGGCGTGTCGTTGTCGCAGGTACTTGCCCACCAAGCCTCAACCGAGTCGAACAAGGGCCTGCCAGTGGTGTCAAGTCCAAGAATGTGGTATTTGTCAATGATCAAAGACCAAAGCCTTCAAGTGAAGCGGCATTTGTAGAAGAGATGAGTCCCACATCTTGTACTCTCTTGCAGAGAGGGCAAAGATCATAGTTGGGCCACCCACGCTTCGCCTCTATCGGCGGTCCAAATTCTATCTTGTAGAGCCAACCAAGCAAAGAACTTGACTTTTAGAGGAGCCGAAGCCTTCTAAACCATTTTATCCATGGGTGAGAGAACCATCCCTAAGAATTGCGCCTTGTATGCGGATGTGTCGAGTAGAGCCCACTAGCCGTATGCTTCCATAGGATGTCGTCCTCGGTGAGCTGATCGAGTTGGACCTCATGCAAAAGCACCCAAAGGGTGAAGAACTGTGTGATGTGCTCCGCGGAGACGTTGGCGGGAGGTTTGATCTTGAGAATCCACGCGTTCTGTTTGAGGGCCTCCCGAACCTTCCAATTCTTTCTCTTGGACGCTTCATGAATGAGCGGGGCAATATCTTTTGGCTTGCGTCCAAGGAGCCAAGGTGAATCCCAAAAGGGGGTCTTCGCGCCGTTACCAACGATGATAGTGTTGGATGCATAGAAGAAATTTAGGTCCTCGTCACATGGGTTCCCCATCCCCACCCACATCTTGGTGGGCTCCTTCCATTCATACCACGGCCATCGCAACCAGAGGGCACGCGTAAACTTGTTGGTGTTGAGAACCCCAAGTCCCCCATATTGAAGTGGCCGGCAAACAATCTCCCAATTCACCATGCATTTTGCACCCGTCGTCTTGTCCGTACCGGACCAAAGGAAAGCTCTCTCAAGCTTATTTACATTGAGAAGGATGGTTGGCAGGATGACCAGCTGTGTGGCGGGGTAGACCACCTGGGAGGTGATCACGGAATTGATAAGAGTCGTCCGTCCGATGATGGTAATGTTTTGGCCCTCATAAGTTGTTAGCTTGCTCGCAACCTTGTCCATTAAAAACTGAAGATCCACCAACTATACTTGCCAAAATAAGAGAGGAAGACCCAAGTATCGTAGAGGGAAGTGAGTCCTAGTTGCCGGCAACCTTTGGGTTAGGCGACCCAAATCGAGATGGTTGCAACGGATGGGCACAAAAGAGCTCTTTTGGAAATTGGTGCACAGTCCCGTGACATCACTGAAGCCCCTCAAAATGCTTGCAAGGTTGTCGACGTCTCTTTTGATAGGAGCCAAGAAGACGGTTGTGTCATCCGCATAGAGAGAGGTCCTCATCATGGCTCCCCTTCCCCTAATTTTATGGAGGAGCTCTTTTCTCGTAGCAACCTCAAGAATTCTTTGGAGTGAATCAATAGCGATGAGGAGCTCAGGAGGACCGCTATCCAATCCATAAATTTGCTTACGAATCCTCGCCATTGGAGTAGGTCGAGCAAATACTCCCGCTTCACGGTGTCGAAGGCCTTGTGGATGTCCAGCTTGAAGAGGAGGGAAGGGATCTTGCTCTTGTGAAGGCGCCGAGCAAGATTGCGAACATACAAGAAGTTGTCGTGGATGCTTCTTTTGATGAAAGCGCTTTGGGCGCTCGAAACGAGCCTTGTCATGTGGGGGCTAGGCCTTAAGGAGAGCACCTTCGCAATAATTTTCACGATCGCGTGGATGAGGCTGATGGGCCTATAGTCGGCGATTCCCTCCGCCCCTTCCTTTTTAGGCAAGACCATCACGTTTGCGGAATTGAGCCACTGGAGGTTTGAAGTGTGAAGGGAGTCAAAATGACTAATGACCCACATGAGGTCGGCCTTGCAATGTTCCAACACCTCTTGAAAAATAGGCCCGTGAAGCCATCTGGCCCCGGGGCCTTGTCACTTGGCATGTCGCTGATCGCTTCAAGGACCTCACTCTCGGTCATCGGGGAGTCAAGGCCATGGAGGTCGAGCGGTTCCAAATTTAGCTCATCCCAATTGCAAACTTTGCGGCTTTTGGGGCCTCTCTTCATGACATTGGAAAAATGATCCTGGATTAATTTCTCTTTGGCTTCGTGCTCAGTGACCCACCCATGCTCGTTCTTGATTCAGTGGATATGGTTTTTTCTCCTTCTTGCATTAACTCGGCGGCGGAAGAATTTAGTACTCGGGTCCTCCTCCCTAAGGTTGCAAATTCTTGCACATTGCTTCTTGCGAGATCTTTCAAGCACAGCCAAGGCAATGACTCTTCTCTTGAGCCTAGCCCATAGCTGACGCTCGTCAGCAGAAAGGAGCCTTTCCTCTTGGGCAATGTCGAGGCGGAGAATCACCAACAGGGCGGCTAGGTGTGACTTACTTAACTACTGAAACTTCTCATCCAACTATTCATGATGAACTTTATAGACTGCTGGTGCCGCTAACCATTAACCAACCTACACATGCAGCATGCTAGAAGATACTCCCTCCGTTCACTATTATAAGATGTTCTAACTTTTTTCTGAATCGGATGTACATAGACGCATTTTAGTGTGTTTGTTCACTCATTTCAATTCGTATGTAGTCCATATTGAAATATCAAAAACATCTTATAATAGTGAACTGAGGGAGTAGATGAAAAGTAACATGTCAACATACCATCAAGAGGCTTCACAGTTTGCATCATCCTCCCCCTTTCTCGAGTAAGTTTTCACCTTTCTGGAGAATTCCTTAACTGAGGAGTGGTCTGAAAATGTCAGGGGAGTGTCTTCAGCAATTGGATCCCTCACATAGAACAGTCTAATGGGTGCACTTCCAGTTCCATCAGTTGGAGGTTCTTCAGGTATATCACGGTACAAATGTTTGATAATGAAGAGAGCAGTATCATGATCCCGCCAGTAGTTGCTACAGGAATTAATCCAGAGGCTTGTTAAAAATGTGAAATAGACACGGGGAAAAACAAATGGAAACAAACAGAACCGATGAGTGAGCTCACGTATGAGATCCCAGAGCGGATAAATATGGATGTTGAAATGTTTTCTCCTGCAATTAGATTATTATAAGATTGTAAGCTCTGAACTGCAAATGCAATCAAGAAAGGCAAACTAGTCCAGCCAAAATGGAGAAGGGGAGGGTAAGCATGTCAAGTTGACAGGAGGGGACTAGGGACCCGGCCAGTTATTAGCTTGCCAGTGGGTACATGTTGTCCACCACCCGAAAGTCCTGAGCTGCCTTTTGAAAACGCTAGATGAGAATTGAGAACACATGCAGGTGTGCGCCGAGCTACAACATGGCTTATGCTAAAGCAACTGCACAATACCATTCACGTGCATAGTGGAGCACGTTCATTCTAATGACTAAAGTAAGCAACAGTACACCAATACAAAGAGTAGAAATGGCAAGAGCTTAATAACCTGAAGCACATGATCAACTCGACCATCCGGTGAACCAGTCAGCCTTTCCATCATCATGGAACCATATGATCTCTCCTCCTCCTTGGTGCTCTCATCGTCCTCTAAATAATAACAATTGATCAGAACACTGCTTGTTTCTCGCTCAGATTGTGTAAAAGCTAATAAAAACTGATGTATCAATTACCTTCCGTGTCATTTTTGCTCAGTGATAACAAGGCAGCTACCGCTTTGACCTAAACAGAATAAACAAACCAACTCATCAGGTAAGAGCCATGCGCTTCTCTATCATTCACATGTATCAAAGGTTAATACATCAAACCCCACCCAGATTCACATAATTGTTTAAAACTTTATGCACTAAATCCATATAAGCGTATCGGAATAAAGAGCAAACCTTCAATGACTTGAATTGACGGGCAATAGCCTGAGAACGTGCAGCAACGTCTTCTGTGAACTCCTGTAACATATCAAACCAAATTAGTTATATAAGAGAGAAATCAGCCTCAAGTTAGAAACAGACATGCTCCTTTGTGAGTTCGGTTAAATGACATAAAACCCACCTGCACTCCAACATGTATCCTCTTTCCGCCTCTATGGTAGGGTATAACAACAGGGCGCTTGTTCACATAATCTTCACATACAAGTGGTTCAACTCTGCAACAAAAGCCGACCTAGACTTATGTGCCATGTTCCCCACTTTGCAGCAGATTAAGTGCATTCTATTCCAGTAAAATAAAGGAACATATCTAAAAAGTGGCAAAGCTCTTAGTCCCTTCAGGGATATTCAGCAAAAGTGGTGAAGCTTATGTAACATGTTAATTCATACCAGATTGGCGTTATTTAGTTCCATTATGATATTGCATCTTTGGCCAGCTCTCTAAACAGAAGGTTAAAACGATAATATGCAAGGAAGCTACAAACCTGTATGCTACAGGATCGAAAGGATGAAAAACGTTGAACATCTGCCTGCAGCATGGCATCTCTTCAACAACGTTCTTGTCTTGCCAATAATCTTGTCCCCTGCCTTTAAATAAGAAGCTACGAAATTCAGAAATAAGATAGCAGATCATCAACTGCCAATTGCCAGGGGCAATGAGAAATCATAAGGTGGGTTAAGGTTCCCCATAGACCTTTCCAAAATGAAAAGTCATCAAGACACTAGTGATACGCCAGGAAGATAGATGCATAGAGGAAGCTATGCTAATAATGACTTTATAGTCATGAAGACACCATCCATGTTAATACAGCAGAGGGACACGACAATGCATCTATACAAAAGGTCATAATTTCATTTCATTCAGAAGGAAAGCGCTCTGGAGGCATTGGGGGGGGAGACACTGAAGAGAAAGTGTTGTGGAGCCCTGCATTTAGTTTTACAGCCTTCACTGGCCCTTGGTCTATGCTATCCTAAACACAGCACAGATGATATTTTTTTCTAGTTTTGTAATATAAGATAAATACTCGTTTTATAAATAAATGGTTATATAATTTAATTCTAAATATATGAAGAGTACTAAGGAAAACTATATAAACCACAAAATAGTGTCAACACTGCTGTGGCAAAGCATATTTTAGTCAAATGCTACATACCAACACCAATACGGACATTCCGCAGCGACAGGAAGACTCCCAAAGGGGATCCAACAGCAAAGAATGTGTCAACCTGAGTATCAAAAAATGATGTGATGATGGTATAAACATGTCAAAAAATAAAAGCATCAGTGAACAATAACAACGATAGCTTACCTTAAAATTTAGTTTAGTGTATCTAATACGTGGTCTGTAGGACTGACTTGTGCTACCTTGCCCTATGTTAAGTTTGCCTGATACTAGGCTCACTGTATCATTAGCATCTTTATCTGGCAATAATATACATAAAAATATCTGATTAAACCTTCACAAATACAAGCATATACAGTCTCCAAAGAAATTTCATGGAACAAAAGCAACGAGTTACCTTGATGAGACTGAACACTACTGATGCTTTGAATCACTGAATCACTCTGTCGCTCAAGTTCCGCTAGTTTAGCTTTAAGATGGCTCACCTGCAGTCAAGATAGAAATCTAGGCATCAACACGATAGGCAAATTAAATTCGCACAGTTGGTGCTCCAAGATAACACCCTAAATTTTGGGTTCTAAAACAAGTTCTTCAGTTTTGATCATATATTTGTGAGCCTTCTTATGCAATTAGATAGATCCTACTCCCTCTGTTCCAAATTACTCGTCGTGGTTTTAGTTCAAATTTGAACTAAAACCACGACGAGTAATTTGGAACGGAGGGAGTAGATGATAAGCACATAAAATTTAGCCAAATTCAATAGATCCACACCTCTTCTTCTAGTGATGAGATTAATCTGTCTTTGTCAGGGACCACATGGAGTTCCTTGGCGGATCTTGAAATGCACTCATCAGCATCTTTTGTGCTTACAGCTGGAGTAGCTCCTTCAGTATATGTCATTTGATGATTCTCAACCTGATTTTCGACTTCAGTTTGCACCCCATCAACTGGAATAGGTGATTCAAGTGCATCATCATTGTTTGGCACATTTTCAAGCACACATGGCAGAACAGTCTTGTCTGTAAGTGAATGATCAGTTCTGGTGCTCTCTTGATCCACACGATTTACATTATCTACACATGAATGCCCTGAAGTGGAAGAAGTATCATGCTCTTTTACACCAGAGTCAATAACATCAATTGTGTTGGGTCCTTTTCCTACTTGGCCTTCATCAGACGAAACTTCCATCTTAAAATAATCTGTTGGAAATGGGGCAGAAAGGGATTCTTGGTGGCAAAGTATATCATACGTTAGAACACTTCCCAACGAATGGCCATATAATGATACCTGCCAAAAAAACAAGGCAAGCAGTTGTTTAACCAACAGAAAAGAAGTGCAATCAGAATAAGAATTGTAGTGCAAGCCATGAACAGCAAACCTTTCCACTGTAACCAGGATTTCTCTTCAGAAACTTCATATACAGTTGGTTCAGCTGACCCGAGACCTGTTATAATTTTGAATTGTTACTTATTATCAGTACTTAAAGACTCGGTGAACAGGGTGATGGTTCGCCCCTTCCCACCTAAAAATGCAGCAAAAAAAAAAACACGGCCATAACTTCTTTTTTCCCAAACTATCATGACACACAAGTTTGTAACAAAAAAGAACTGATCTGACCCATATACTACTCCATGTCACAAATTAGCAGTTGGCTTATATATGAATTTTCCTTAAAAAGCGACCGGGCTTTTGTTTCATAATTCCGTTACTTGCTTTCTCCTCAACCCAACATATGACACGAGATTTGTGTGGGTTCCATGTTCTAATGTAGAAATTTTTGAAGCAGAATATAAGAATCAAAATATACTCGAAGGCCAATGTTTGAAACTAGAACTACTAAAAACATGTTCTACTACTAAAAAGGAATCAAGTAAACAGGAAAATAACCAGAAATAGTGACGATAAAGCAAAATACCGAGTCAATTATATGCTGACAGTAGATAGGACTCATGTAATATAGAACATCATGAACGGTGGCACCTAACGCTACGCGAAGACCTTTAACTCCATCCAAAGTGATCTTCTCGACTGTGTTTTCACCACCGAGCTTTAAACTCTTCCTCCACTGCGATAATAATCATTGCTAGTAAACATAAAAGTCACCAGTGAAAACATAGATGAAACAGGATTTCATATCAGGATAGAACAAACGGGCAGCATGCTGCTCTGCAAGTGCAATATACTTAGCTACACACATAAGCTACAGTTGTTGTGACTAACTAAATAATCATATCTGCCTGCGTAATGAATAACGTATATAAATGATCAATACCAATCTGCCATATAAATTAATGGAACATAGAAGTCACAATTCAAAAGTAACACGATGCACATGTTTAAGTTTCAGTGGATGATGAAGTTGTTTAAAATGAGATTGTATGCTAACTCAGCAAGCATGAACCAGGATACAAGCTTCCTTTATCATGCTATATATAGCCAGGTCAACTGTTTTATCCTTTCCAACAACCCAATCAATGATGAACAACCATGCTAGAGATCTCCACAGATCAGAAGTAGTAACTGGAGTTCCGAAAATTAATCTTACCTGACAGGGAATAAATAGGACCCTCTGTGTACTTCTTTGATAAGGAGTTAAGTATCTATCGGCTAGGTTAGCGGTCACACGGCGGAAATCGACTACATCATCAACAAGATTAGCTTTTTCCAATCTCTGTCCGATACCATGAACCATGAATACCAAATGACCAACTGGAACCTATTAAGAGATAATAACATACATTAGCAACTAAAATTAGCCTTCAACAGAAGACTTTTTGAAGTTAATGGGAATTTCCTTAAACATGCATGTAAGGGGAAATACGGAAGCCTTATATCTTCCATTCCATGAATGTGGCAATCACAGATGTAAGGTGGATGGCTAAGGTTAAGCAATTTGAAACTATGGGATAAATACTACTACCTCCGTCCCAAGATAAGTGACGTGGTTTTAGTTCATATAATGCTCACATCCTTTTATGGTATATGTTTGGTTTGCGGAACCATCTCATACTCAGATGGATTGGGCCATCATGGGGTCAACCCATAATTTTAGCGATTCGACTACATTTCTAGTCTTTCTAACACCCATAATTTAGTGATTCGACCTCATTTCTCATTTCTCTAAGAGAATGAGTGCTCGTGAGGGGTGGTATGGTGATGAACTGATTCATTCCTTACCTCGAGCAAGCAAAGACATGAGGAGCATTCCTCGAACCAAACACCCCGTTGGTATCTTACATGCTAGCCATATGTCTATACATTATTATAAAATATATAAGAAAATCTCTGATGACATGAAGGGTGTTGATAGTGTTATGAAGTGAGCCTATATTCCATCGGGCCAACAGGCCAGCACATATACATGAAGGGAAATAAGCAAAGAAGCCCCTATACAATATGATAACTACACACACAGCACAACCCTGTTCTAACACCCCCCCTCAAACTCAAGGGGGATCTTGGACACCGAGTTTGGACAGGAAAAAGCTGTGTTGGGACCGTGTCTGAGCTTTCGTCAGAAAATCAGCAAGCTGAAGCTCCGAGGGCACATACTGTGATGGATAAGTCTGTGTACTAGGGTCCTTGTGGGGCTGCAGCACATGGTCCTTGTGGCAGTTAGGAGGATAAAGTCCTGGACCATCAAGGACTGGCTGTTAGGATAGAGTTCTGTTCTTGACCATCAAGGACTGTCAGTTAGCATCTTAGACTAGCATCTTAGACTAGCATCTTAGACTGGCATCTTAGCAGCATCTTAGCATATGCCTTGGCTGGCTAGCAGCCTATAAATATGTATCCCCAACCCCTCAGGTTGGCAATGGCATTGTGTGAGAAATAAACCAACGAAAATTGTCCCAACTCTCCTAGTGTCATCCACAACTATCAATGCTCAGGCTGAAAGGTCTAACAAGTGGTATCAGAGCCAAGTTAACCTGCACCCTGAGCATTTCCTGTGAGCAGCCCAAGTCGGTAGCAGCAGCTGCTCCGTCTGCCTCTGGTTACCTTCCTCCCTCCGGACTGTCGAGCAGCAGCTCGTCTTCATCAGCCTCCTCTTCACGCAACAGCCCCCCTGCAGCGAGCCATGTCTGCAGGTCGCTCTCAGCACACGGCTACCTCGAGCATGCGGCGCCGGCAAGAGGCCGAGCGCGCCGTGGCAGAGGAGCGTGAGCGAGCGGCTGTAGCAGCGGCTGCTGCGGCGGCAAGAGTGTCGAGGCTGGCTGCAGCGGAGCTGGCAGCAGCCAGAGCGGAGGTAGAAGCAGCCAGGGCGGAGGTAGAAGCAGCAGCAGCAGCAGAAGCAGCCCGTGAGGCTACGGCGGATGCCAAGGCACTCCGCGGCAGCCCCGGCAGTTCCAGCAGCTCCGCGCCTGCGGACGACGGCGCCGACGCAGATCGCGCCAAAGTGGCGCAGGAGCGGACGGCGCAGTGGGCAGCCGAGCACGCCCGCGCTCCAGGTGGAGGCGCGCACCGCGACGGCGGCTGCAACGACCAGGACCGCGGCCTCTACGAGGTCCGGACTGTGGTCAGGGATGTTGGTTCCAGTGTTGGGTGGCCTACCCTCACTAAAACCAACTACGTCGAGTGGGCCGGGATCATGAAGGTCAGGCTCCAGGTGCGGCGCATGTGGGAGGCAGTCCAGGACAGCAACGTCGACCACCTAGAGGATCGACGGGCGCTGGACGCCCTCATTGCCGCAGTCCCGCCCGAGATGCAGTTCTCGCTTTCCAACAAGCGGACTGCCAAGGAGGCTTGGGACGCCATCGCCGCAGCACGCATCGGCAGCGACCGTGCTCGCAAGTCCACCCTGCAGGCACTTCATAAGGAGTGGGAGAACCTGGGCTTCAAGCCAGGTGAGGACGTTGATGACTTTGCTCTCCGTCTCAACACTCTGCTGCAGAAGATGGTGAAGTTTGGCGATGCCACCTACACCGAGGAGAGAGCTGTCGAGAAGCTTTTTCGGTGCATTCCCGAGAAGTACAAGCAGATGGCTCGCTCGATCGAGTCGTTGCTGGACCTCTCCACGATGACGAACGAGGAGGCGATAGGTCGACTCAAGGTCGTCGACACCGACGAGCCACAGCCCCCCTCGGGGCCCGTCACCACCGGCGGGAAGCTGCTCCTAACTCGGGAGCAGTGGGATCCCAGCCTTGGTGACAAGAAGAAGGGGGAGCCTTCCTCCTCGACGGGCGGCCGCAAGCGTGGCAAGCAGCGTAAGGCGCGAAGAGGCCCCCCGGGCAGGGCACAAGGACGTGCCGAAGGTGACGCCCGCGGAGGCGCCAAGGACGGCGCCGCTGGCAAGCCCAGGCCGGCACAAGACAACAGTTGCCACAACTGTGGCCGGTTTGGCCATTGGGCCAATGAGTGTCGGCAACCACGACAAGGCCAGGCTCACGTCGCACAGGCGAAGGAGGAGGAGACGGCTCTGTTCATGGCGCATGCAAGCATTGAGCTACCCTCGGCGACTCCAGTCACAAAGGCTTTCATCCACCTCGATGAGCCAAAAGCACATGCTCTTCTCGGCGATGGCTCCGGGAAGGACAAGGCTACGGGGTGGTGCCTCGACACCGGCGCCACCCACCACATGACCGGTCGAAGGGAATTCTTCGCCGAGCTCGACTCCGATGCGCGAGGCTCCGTCAAGTTCGGGGATGCCTCCGCTGTGGAGATAAAGGGCGTCGGCTCCGTCATCTTCACCACCAAGATGGGAGAGCACCGGCTGCTCACCGGTGTCTACTACATCCCCGCGCTAAGGAATTCCATCATCAGCTTGGGACAGCTGGATGAGAACGGCTCACGCGTGCTGATTGAGCATGGGGTCCTACGCATCTGGGATCGCCAGCGTCGCCTTCTCGCCAAGGTGCCCAGAGGTGAAAATCGACTCTACGTCCTTGATGTGCAGGTGGCACAACCGGTCTGTCTCGATGTCCGTCGAGACGACGAGGCGTGGCAGTGGCATGAGCGCTTTGGGCACCTTCACTTTGAGGCTCTGAAGCGTCTAAGTGCCAAGGAGATGGTGCGAGGCCTGCCATGCCTCGACCATGTGGAGCAGTTCTGCGACATCTGTGTACTGACAAAGCAGAGACGACTCCCCTTTCCCCAACAGGCGAGTTTTCGGGCTAAGGAGAAGCTGGAGCTCGTGCACGGAGACCTGTGCGGCCCGGTGACGCCAGCCACACCAGGAGGTCGACGCTACTTCCTGCTGCTCGTCGACGATCTCTCCCGCTACATGTGGGTGATGATCCTCGACAGTAAGGGAGAAGCGGCGGACGCCATCAGGCGCGCGCAGGTTGGTGTGGAGGCGGAGAGCGGCCGCAAATTGCGCGTGTTGCGCACTGACAACGGCGGCGAGTTCACGGCGGCTGAATTCGCGTCGTACTGCGCCGATGAGGGCATCCAGCGCCACTACTCCGCGCCGTACAGCCCGCAGCAAAACGGCGTCGTCGAGCGGCGCAACCAGACGGTTGTGGGGATGGCTCGGGCTCTCCTCAAGCAGAGAGGGATGCCGGCTGTCTTCTGGGGAGAGGCGGTGCTAACGGCCGTCTACATCCTCAACCGCTCTCCTACTAAGGCACTCGACGGCAGAACTCCGTACGAGGCCTGGCATGGGCGGAAGCCGGCGGTCTCTCATTTGCGGGTCTTTGGCTGCCTTGCGTTCGCCAAGGAGCTCGGCCACATCGGCAAGCTCGACGACAGGAGCACTCCGGGAGTCTTCATCGGCTACGCGGAGGGCTCAAAGGCCTACCGCATCCTCGACCCAAAGACACAACGTGTGCGCACAGCGCGAGACGTCGTGTTCAACGAAGGGCGAGGGTGGCAATGGGATAAGGCGGTGGACGACGGCTCGACGCCGACGTATGACGACTTCATTGTCGAGTACGCTCACTTCAAGGAAGCTGGGGGAGCAAGCAGCTCCTCTTCACCGGGCACGTCTACCCCGGCCCCCAAAACTACATCGACTCCGGCGCCTGCTACACCGACGACACCACAACCGGCGACGCCGCATACTCCAGCCCCGGCGGTCGCCACTCCGGGCTCGTCTTCATCAGCACCAGCTCACGCAGAGCACAACCCGATGAAGTTCGCTTCCCCGCTCACTCACGACGAGGAGCGGGTCGACGCATGGTATGGAGGCGAACCGCTGCGGTACCGTACGATGGATAATGTGCTCGGCGACCAGCCGGTGCCAGGACTGGTGCCACGTGACCTGGAGGCGCAGCTACAGCTCGTGTGTGAAGACGGCGAACCACGGTCCTTTGCAGAGGCCGAGAGAGACGCGGCATGGCGCGCCGCGATGAAGTTGGAGATGGATGCGGTCAAGCAAAACCGCACCTGGGAGCTTGCTGATCTCCCTCGAGGTCACCGCGCAATCACCCTTAAGTGGGTGTTCAAGCTGAAGAGGGATGGAGCCGGCGCCATCATCAAGCACAAGGCTCGTTTGGTGGCCCGAGGCTTCTTGCAGCAGGAAGGAGTCGACTTCGACGACGCTTTCGCTCCCGTGGCACGGATGGAGTCCGTGCGACTTCTCCTTGCGCTGGCTGCCCAGGAGGGCTGGCGTGTCCACCACATGGACGTTAAGTCGGCATTCCTCAATGGCGACTTGAAGGAGGAAGTCTACGTGCATCAGCCACCGGGGTTTACGATTCCCGGCCAGGAGGGCAAGGTGCTCCGCCTGCGCAAGGCTCTCTATGGCCTGCGGCAGGCACCCAGGGCGTGGAACGCCAA